TAGGTTGTACTATGTATTATATTGTTAATTACGGTCTGATATTATGCGTGTGACGCGATTAATATGTGTCTTCTATTGATAAACGTTTAAAGCAATTTGATCTAGAAATAATAATCTGAAAGTTATTTAACAAAAATCTTAATATTTATCTCGCTCTTTCTATTCTAAATACTCGTGCCTCCTAAGATTGGCGTCTACCATAGTTTGGTAACCGCAATACCAAATGAAATATTTAACATATAACTTACGTTGTGTTCTTTGAGGTGGCAGTGCTATAGTAAAAAGAAAAAANTTCTATTGATAAACGTTTAAAGCGATTTGATCTAGAAATAATAATCTGAAAGATATTTAACAAAAATCTCAATATTTATCTCGCTCTTTCTAATCTAAAGGCTCGTGCCTCCCAAGATTGGCGTCTACCATAGTTTGGTAACCGCAATACCAAATCAAATATTTAACATATAACTTACGTTGTGTTCTTTGAGGTGGCAGTGCTATAGTAAAAAGAAAAAAAAATATAAAAAATATGGATAATTATAATTTTGTATTAATCTAATCAAATCATAGCATATAATGCAGATAACGTCCATTCATTTGTAATAAATATCTGAATTTTATTTTGATGCCGTTGACCTATGTAATGAATTGATTGCACCCGTTTACTCGGAAAGTATAATCTTTAATGGAATTTGTTTTCTTGGACTTTTAAAAAGTTAGCTGCAAATCAACTATCTATTTATATAGTTTTTTGTCACTCATATTTTTAGGTGTAAATTCGCTATCAACGTTTGATATTTAAACTGTAACCTATGTGAAATAAATTCCCCATTTTGATGGGAGTTTTAGAAAATTTAAATTGTTGTATTGGAATAATTGATGCTCGTCAATCCGTTAACAAGATATTAATTTTGAAATTTTTGTCTGAGTATAGTACTGGTGCAATATTAACACGCTGCGCGTCGTACTGCATTTCGATAGTTGCTTCACTTCTGGACAAAAACACAATCTTAAAATTGGTATATCTCATCGGCTGATGGACGGCAATTTTATACGAAAATTTATTTGTGTATTTTATTTATAGACAGTATTTGTAATATGGCTTATGTTAGAAAATTAAAATTAGATGGTTATTCTACACAAGAAAGTAAGATTGAAAATATAGAATACAAATTTAAAATTGTAGAGTATCTTATCACTTTGATTACTAGAAAACAATTTCGGGAATACGTCAATACGCTCCGAAATAACGAATGCATCCGCCTAAATGGATCAATTGGTATATTTTACGTTACACATCGTGAGCTCTATTTTTTTCGGTATTAAAGTAATTCTACATAAGCGGGGGTAATTTTACACTAGATGCCCAACGAATCTTTACGGCGAAATGTAACCAGAACAATGGGCAGCAAACTTTTTAAATACCACTGCCAAACCACTGAGATTTGACAACAGAAATACATAATTTTATTTGTATTCAAAGTCGCACATCTAGAGGGGGCAGGGGTTGATCAGAAATTTCAGGCTTTTTATTAAGACCCTTAGTCTATTGAATCAAATAATTTCAATATTTTACAGACTTTTTTGGATTTTTTTGTGGTATTTTTTTTAGGAAAATGATTTATTTTTTTTTTAAAAAATTGAATGTTCCACAATAATACAGTAAGGTTCTTTTCGACTTTCATCTAAACATTTAACAGCATACATTACATAAAGCTATATAAACAAAAGGTAACATAACAATTTTGTATTATATAACTCAACAGTATAAAAATATAAAAATATTACAGAGAAACGTTCACTATTGTGTTATAATAACAATATCACACATTTTTCTCTTTAAATTTTATTTTTTAAATTATACATTAATTATTATGCAATGCCAATACCATCAATCTAGGAATTTTTAAACAATTTATCTTGAAATCAATTAATATGCAGACTTAAGTTGATGTAATCTAAGACTACGAAAGAGCTTTTCACACAGGCCTATTTAATGACGAGTTATATTGTTGGGGACGTATTTTTAAACTCAGAGTCATGTTATGGTTGAAAGATATAACACAATAATTTTATAATTTTATTTTATTTAGGTGATAGATGTTATAACTTTTTTTGTCCGAAATCTTCCGAAAGCGATATCACCAGCTTGATCTTATACCTTAAAACCCACCGCCCTCTAGCTAAATATGTTAAATACGCGATATTCAATAACAACACCTTATTGTGTAGTCTATTGATAACGTCTTACGTCATCCGGTTCTTGCAAGAATAGACGTTTAGGTATTTAATTAAACAGATTTTTTATATTATATTGATCAAATTGATTTATCTAGTCTGCTAAAATATTTTGTTCACGTTCGTTGGCATCGAGGTGTGATTTCTTAGTATTTTATTAAAGGGCTATTGTGCAATACTCGAGAGTGTATTGGTGTTAAGTAAATTTATGTTTCCGGCCTGGTCGGTGAAATGTAGATTTTACATATAAGATAACTTTATTTGTCTAATTTGACTCGGGTAATAAATCACTTGGGTAACACCGAACTATAAGTCTACACACTGTGATACATTTTATTATAATGTTGTGAAACGAGCCGATGCCCGTGACATTAGGTTACTTTTTACATAAATAATAAATTATATACTATTCATAAATTCGGACAATATATAGAGACAAACAATATGAGTCAGAAATATAACAGTATACAACATTCTCAATCGTCTAACGACAAGTTGGAACTTATAAAGATAATAATATAATCACATCATATGTCACTGAATGTCTTAAGCAGAAAAGTCAAGTCGACGAAATCTCCACAGATTTTAGAAAATAATTTTATATGGTTGATCATGGCCTTATAATTAGAGAACTACCCGGCGTTTGGTGTCGGCAATCACCCCCTAATTTGGTTAATCTTACACCTAATAAAAACGAAGCAATTTGTTAAGGTTCTCGGCTCTTTTTCCAAATTAAAAGATGTGCCTTCGGGTGTCCCTTAATCGTTTCATATGGTAATAAATTAAACAACTTTATAAATCCAATTTTCCCAACTTCCAATCTACAATAATGACACACCTACCCCATTATCGTCTTTTTTTTAATAATGTTTTTTTTTATCTAATATCAAATATTCAAAATTGATCATACCTAACAATTGCAGAATAATCCTTAAGTTTTAAGAATGTCATAAAATGTTATATAAACGATATATAACATTTTTTTTTTTTCAATCGGGTTTCAACTTTTAAAATTTTCCAAATAGCAATTTTAGATTCTAAACGGAGCTTATAACATAGTGATGATTATTATTCATGTTTATGTTCTGTGGAATTTCCTACGTGCACTTTTGCCCCAGTTTTCAAAGACAGCACTTTTTCTTAATGAAAATCGGAATGGAGATGTACTTTAAGAACGTCATATTTTGATTTTCTCAAAAATTTTCCTAGTTTCCGCTTCCCTTTTCCTGTTTTCCTAATGTTTTACCCAGGCTTTTCCCAGATATCAATAAAACAGATTGGAAAATTAAGAAATGACCTCAAAAAAGTATCTTTCAGAAATAATTCCACACGTTTATATCTGAGCAAAATTTATGGTCGAATTTTTGTACATTGTATAAAAAAAAAAAATTGAAAAATAAAGAAAAATCTTATTAAAACCAATACATTATTTTCTACACCCTGAATCTAAAATGAGACTTATTAGGAATAAGAGTTATCAGAATCGTGCTGTATTATAGCATCAGTTTTTGTAGGATTCTTGTAAATACTAAAATCAAATTTGTTATTTTTTATGGAAACTGTGAGATCTAAGAAACTAAATGTATTTTTTATTTGTATTTCGAGTGTGAATTTAATGTTTTTATTTATTTCGTGTAGGTAGTTAACTAAATTTTGTGCTTGTCCACTTGAAATTCAAAATAAAATGATACTATCGTCAATATATGTATAATAATATTATTAGTTTCATAATTTTGCATGAATATTTCAGATAAGTGAGCATTTAAAGGTCCACCCATCAATAAGCCTTCTTTTAGTAAATATATTTTATAAATATAGTGGAAATAGTTTTGATTAATAATTATATATATTGATAAATCAAGAAATTATTTATTTTATTTAATTATTTCATTTGAATTGAATATATTTCAACGTATAAGTTTATTTATTTTTTTTATATTTAATGTTTCGAGTTTAAAAGTAGATTTATGTACATTTTTAACGCCAAGAGAAATTACTTTGTAACCTGGCTCATTATTAGTTTTATTAATTTTTTCAATAAAATCACAAGTTTTTTTTTTTTTTTTAAAATTACCAGTATTCACGTTTAATTTTTCTTTTATGCGAAAGTGCAAATATTTAGCGACGATATAAGCTAGAGAACTTTCAATGTTAATTAATGAACGAATCGGATTATTCTGAAAAAATAATTTTATGAATATTTATAAGTGTGGAGTCCCATTTTAAATTATCTTTACTATATAACAAATTAGGTATTTTTATGTAAAACGACCATATTTTATTAATTTTATCTATGTATTCCTTCATTTCACTTTTTTATTCCGCTGCGTTTTATATTTTAACTGCTACATAACTTATGATGAATTTTAATTCGAAACCGGTTGTAAAATACACTTATCAAAAAATTCTGGGTGACATAAGGTAGCCTGCATCGTATTGTAGTTTGTCAAAATTAATTAGCTTTAAATCTTAAATTAGATAATAGCGTGGTTCACCTGACCTATTTCTTTTGTGAACGCTGAACCCGAATTTCGAGTTCGTTGTTCAATATGCCGGTTAGTTAAGGAAGGTTGCGGAGAAGTACTTTTTAAATTTTTTGTATTTTTATATCAAATCGTATTTTTGAATGGACCTGAATCCGAATTCCCTAAAGATTTTTCAAAAACTATTCAATTCAGGAATTTAGTACAACTGAGTAGGACATGTAAAGTTAATAAAAAAATATCGATTAATAAATTTAGATATTCATAATTAAATTATATTTTTAAAATAAATATATTTTTTAATGGTTATAAATATTATCATTTTCTTGAGGATACTTTGTATGCAATAATTAAATATTTCCTGGATTACTAATGGACTTGAATGGTTCCTATTGTCGCAAGAATTTAAATAAATTACCGTGAGTCAAATTTATTTTGTTTTTATTTCTGAAAACAATACTATTCCTTAAAAAATAATTAAATTGCAATCCAATATACACAATAAAAACAAAATTAAAATTAATACCACAGTGTCATGCAGTCAACATAAAAATATAATTACGCGAGTAAGATAACTTGTTGT